AGTTGTTGTCCAATCACATCTCAGAGAATTCAACTCCTACAATTATCAGTAAGCTTCAGCTCACAAAGTCCAGCTGTCACTGGATTCAGTTATTTATTTTGCCATCCTTTTTTAAACAGGTCATGGTTTAGTTAAACTTTAGGCAGACATAATAAAACACATCCCTCCTAAATAAAATAGGTCATTACTGATAACAGTAAAATATTAACCAAAGGTCAGGACACCTGGTTAATATTCAAGATCTGAATGTGGATCTTTTAAACAAACTAATCATCCTGAGAATAAAAGAGTATTATGGTTATTGTTAGATAAAGCTGTTTAGAAACTTTTTTAAAGGAACAACTTCCATTAATTCTGTTTATTGAGCCTATTATGAATGTCATCATCTGGGAGTTGATATTTTTGAAATTTTGGGCACAATTACATTTTGAATTGAGAAAAAATGTTTAAGTTTACAATGATATGCTTATTATCCCAAAGGCTAGAAGTGTCATTGCTTGATTTAGTTCCAAAAACTTCGGATTCTACTTGCAGATAAGACTGTTTTCATTTCACTTCTAGAGTGAGAAAAACATGTTTTCCTACAGATGTTGTACAGTATCTTCTGATTCACTGGCTTAATGTGATGCAAACCATAAAAAAACTGTTTATTTCTGCAAATTTGACATTTTTCTATCAGCACAGCCACCGCATTGGATATCATCTCACCTATTGTTTTTGTTGTAATAAATATAAAACATTGTAAAATTTCTCATTTCAGGAACAAAACAAGGAGCAGCTCAGTACATCTTCAATCCAAATTTAATGAAATGGACCGCCGCTCGAGATTTCTGCAGAAAAAAATTCACAGACCTGGTCAGCCTGAGGAATGACGCAGAATACACGGCAGTCCAGGAAGTAGCCAATGGGACAGCAGTATTTGTTGGTCTCTTCAGAGACCCGTACGACTGGTCACACCTGACTGACTCCTCACTAAGGTACTGGAGGGAATCCCAACTGGTAAATACAGAATATCATCAAAATTGTGTTGCAATGCTGAAGACTGAATCTGGAAAATGGGGAGACGGGAACTGTACAGAAGTTCATCCTTTCCTCTGCAAATGCAGTAAGTAAACATTTTTAACCAATACAAACCTATTGTAAAATGTGCAAAATAAGGAAGCAGTGCAAAGCAAATAATTTGGATTTTTTTTATTTATTTTAGTACAAACCAAACTGCAGTTCATAAAACTGAGGATCAGCCTGCAGGACTCAAGTTTGGATCTGAATGACCCTGCAGTGCAAAACAGTCCAAGTACACTTTGTTTCAGTCAGTACAAACTTTATTGAAAAAAAACAATGAACTTTTCTTTATTGCTACAAACATGCATGCATTTTTAATCTTCTTCTGTTTTTGTGTGGGAATAAGTCCAGCTCCAGTTTTGGTATTGTTTCAAAACACCTTCACAGTGTCTTAGAAAACTTTAGAATTTATATTAATTCCTGTATAAAGATGTGTTATTTGTAATGATTTAAGAACTACTGCATCATTGTAAGGTATGACACAGTCAGTAGGTTTGGATATTGATAAATGGTTTTAAACAAAGTTTTTGCCAATTATTTGTCTTGTAGATACATAACTAGCTAACTTAAGATGCTTCCTGTATTTTTATTTTATTTTTTTTTCCAAATTAAAAATTGATAAAGTAATTTGTTTAGCCTGGTTTTATTTAATTATTTTGCACACATTCATAAAGTTCCTAAAGATCAGAAAAAACTACACTTAATCCCAATTTGAAACCAAAATCCCTTGCAGACACAGGCAATAATCTGATGGGATAAATTCCATGAGCAGCCAGACTTTATTTACGTCTGGGGAGAATTAAAGATGGCAGCTGAGACTGATACAGCTGTCTTTGCAAATAATTGTATAGTAAATAAATTATGAACAGTGAATACATTTGGGGAAAAGGAGAAATCAAAAGCACTAACCAACTCAGTGGTCAATGGTTGTTGATTTTAATAACTTAAAAGTATTTCACTTGAAAATATGAGGGCAGATCTTCTTTAAATTCATTGCAGATGTCATTCATGATGACAGCTTACCTCAAAATGCAGATTATCAAGTCAAACAATCAGACAATCTTGTAAGACTCCAGGCAGCATCGTAAAAAAAAAAGTATCTGCTGTAAGTAAAAAGCCATTTATTTTTTTCATTTTTAAACACAAGCTTCAGCATGAGATAGAAATTATTTTAATTTTATAATTAATTTTGTAAATATACACAGTTATAAAACACTTGAAAGTTCACCCTTTGTGATGTGAATAAATGTCTGAAGGAGAGCTTTGACACTTAATTCATTGTGAGACTCCTATCAGTGAAATGACTTTTCATGTAATGCCTAGCATCTTTAATTCAATCCAGTCTCGATGCGTACACTTCTACCTCAGACAGACTGAGATGCTCAGTTCTTCCAGGTATGACTACATTGATGTATCGGCCATCCATGCCGTTACATTGAAAGGTTTCAGTAAAACCTGGACCGATGGTTGAGATCACAGCACACCTGTTGGAAACACAAATTGTTTTTGGTTCAGTGATCATTTGAGTTTTGCTCAAATAGACATGTCCTCTCTTTGCTCTCTTTAAACACTTTACAGACCTGGGATTGTTGTTTCCATTGTTGTCTAGTGAATCTCCAACACGGATTTCAGCTCCATTAATTCGATTGTGAACTTCTACACGGTTGGATATGTTGATAGAGAACACTTTATGGGTTCTTCCCAGGTCCAGACGCCACCAGGGATTGAATTCATATTTTGTAAGAGTGCAAGAAGCCTTCTCCCAGAGACCAGCACGATTCCCATCAATAGCATTGTATGCAATGGCTGTTTCATACAATGATGACTGAGTAGCTTTCCCATAAAATGCCACATTTTCTCCTGCAAAATAACATTTTAGAATGTCACCACCAATATATAGCTTGCTTTTATGTTATTGTTACACGTCTCTACTTATAGTGACAAATATAACAAATGATGTTTTGTTTTGTTTTTCCGTTTTTTTTCTTCTTCTGAAGACTTTCTGCTTTCCCTTGATCTTGGAGAGCCTGTAATGACGAACAGTCAGTGAGAGAAAGAAAGGACAACCGCCGTCTTCTTCCCCAAACTCTGTCTGAAGAGCGAGGGGCGGGGCTCCTCAATTCCGGTCTCCTGGTGAGACGTTGCCCGAACCTTCGTTACCCCTTTTTTTTTTTTTAAACCAATATATGTAATTAGTTGCAATACTATTAATTTCTGTGTGGTGGCGTATATTTTCTTAAACAGATTTTCTGGACTATCTCCAAGTGATTAAATTCTCCCACTTTATGGTGTATCACATTATCACATATGCAGGGAGTCCTATAGTAATCTCTCACTTCCCTGAATTCTCAATGTATTTGCAGTTATTTACTCATTACACTGGATCCAAGGTATAAATCTTATAATTTTGAGAAGTTTATAAGATATGAATTTTATTTGTCTTAGTAATATAAAATCAAGTTTTAGATATTTAGCTCTGAAGGCACATCACAGGGGTCAGATCTATCAATAGGATGGAATTTTGTTTTTAGTTTCCTTTCTGAAATTCAGCTTATTGATTTTCTATAGAGTTCAGGTAGGGAAGTTTTCAAGCTGTCAAATTTGTTTAAATACACCTATTACATAACAACTGAATGTAACATAGTTATTTGATTATGCTGTAGGATGACTCTTTTTGCCTGGAAAATACATAAATCCTCTTTCAATTTTTTAAATTTTTTCATGGAAGGTCTAAGTCACTGATCATCTCAAAGGCATTCATGTCACTAATAAGATTAAGAAGAGGATGAACTTCTTTAAGGTGATAAACAGCAACATATGTATCTTGTCATGAAACAATTTTCATTCTAATTCTTGGATAAATATAAAACACTGACATCAACAACTTTTGTTTTCTTTTTGTTACACTATATGATTCTATGTAACCAGTTATTTTATTGTATTTTTTTATTTTTATTGTATCTCTATCTTTATGGATTAATGGATTATTTGTTTTCACTTTGGACATTTGTAAGGCAACCCTCTGTAATCTTAGCATGGCTGAAATAATAATACCACACAATGAAAAGCTAGTAACATATCCAGGTCTCACCAGTTGGAGCATGGTAACCGTAGACCTCCACCTCACAGAGTGTAAGCACCTGGTTTAAACCAGGCTGCAGCACAGTCACATAGCGGCCCTCCACATGACCGCTAAAAGTTATTTTCAGAGTCCTTCCAAGTGGGATGCGAGAAATGACAGCAACCCTAAAACAGAGAAAGTGGAGAAAACAAATATTTTTTTTTCTATTTTGAGAAAGTAAATTTAGGTTTCAACTAGTCACACTAGCTAGTTTCACATGAATAGTTGGTAGGAATCAACCTGTCATAGATATTATCAGACCTGAAATAGATATTGCAAGCTCCAGAGTGACAGCATGTAATCATTAATGTTTCACTCACATTGGGTTTGATGTACCATGGTCTTGTAAAGAATTGCCAACATGAATCTCTGCTCCGTTAATGTTTTCTGAGCAGCAGTCTCCTCTGTTGGTTACAGAGATGGAAGTGAGGATGTAGGACTCCAGCAGGTCCACTCTCCACCAGGGAAATGATTGTTTTCCAGTGTGGGTGCAAGAGCCTTGTGTAAGGTCGGGATTTCGGTTTCCGTCAATAGCATTGCTGGCATCCACAAAACTATCCCATTCTCCTTTTAGACGATTAGACTGAGTTGCTTTGCCACGTAAAGCCAAATTTTCTGGAAGAAAAAACCCCCCAAAAAACAAAGCAAAATAGCTTTTGTTTTATAAAACACAAGTTGTGTCAAATCTTTACATTTGAAGCAAACTATAGCATTCTCAATTTCAAAAAACAAATATTTCAGATCTATGTTCTATGTTAAAATCCAAATATTTATGGAAGGTTCCTGATAGATTGGAGGTCCCAAGCATTGGCTTATTTCTCTTATGCACTGATTGTGCCTGCACTGATAAAAAATTATATCGCAGATTTTTTTTAAATTCAAATACATTTTTCATCATTGTCACAAAATCCATGAGAAAATTTGTTGAACAACAAAGATGATGGCTCCACAGTTGAGTAATTTGACTTTCAGTGAATCAACAAGACTGAAGAAGGAAAATCATTTCATACGCAGATTAAGGTAGATTATGCTTACTATATTTATAAGCCACGGCTGTCGTCAGGAGAAGCAACACAAGCAGAGCTGAAGGGTGTCTCATTGTTCTGATTTAGACTCCAGACAAAGTGCACAAAATATGCCTATTAAAATCTATTTGTAAGAAAAAAAAACAGAACTCAGTGAATATTATACTCTGAAAGAGGAGACAATTCTGTAAATTCTATTGCACGCACCTTGATCTGTCAAAAGTCACTAAAGAAAATGAGGAGCTGCTGTTTATTAAGGAATATATGCAGGAATCTTATCAGGACGTGTAATTAGTTACTTATTCTTATCTTGTATGATAGCTTCTCCTTCTACCCTACATTACAAATATAAGACAAAACACTAGACAAGTTTTTTTTCAATACCCAGCAGTCAAGTTATACAGATGTTTTGTTTGTAATAATTTATGAAGTATGGCATTATTGTACAGAACAGAACTAACAGGCTTCAAAATATGTTTTACTGTTTCATGTTGGAAACATATATATAACCAAATGTATCTCATTGGCTCAGCTGAATTTTCCTCAGGAGGACTCCAGTTGAGTTGTAGAAGCTTGTCATATCCTGGTGGGTTAGGTGCAGGTGCTTGTTTAAGACTCTCTGTGACAGGATGTGGACAGCAGATGCAGCTTTCCTCAACTGTTTCCCATCCAGAGCAATCAGAAGTGGAATATAAGGAACACCACAGCACAGATGATATTGTATTAATTATCAACTCAGTGTGGCTCTGGGTTTATGTCGATCAGATATGATAGACATTCAAGTTTTGGTTAATTTTTCATTTCATGATATCAGGAGAGATGTGGCTGTAAATAGAAGAAGGAGTGTACTAATTATTAAATGAACTATTCATAAAATTTTTTGGAAAATACAGATGATAAGTAAATAAAAATAGTGCGTGTTATAAGCAGGATTTTATTTTTAAATGTACTTGTAAAGTTATTCTCACAAAGATTCAGAGAGAGAAATGAAGACTTAATTTAAAAGAGAAATGGATTTTGAATTCAGTTCAAAATACCTGAATTTAAAATAATTATACAGAGCCATATTGAGTATTTTCCATCCTTTTATTCATCTTAACAGCCATTTATTTTAACTTTTTGTCATTTTGAAATTTCCTGTATTCCAGATTCTCTGTAACAAATTTGAATCTTTAATTTGTAAATTACTTGTAACACATCTTGTAATTCACTTCAAAATGTGCAAAATCTAATTGAATCGAACACAGTGTAGGTAGGATATGAACAACATAGATTTCTAACTGAAATGGTCTCTTAAATCCTTTTTTCCAGACGTCGCAACAGTGTTGTATGAAAGACGAGAAACGAAATCATTTCTTTGAACCAAGGTGTGAACTCTGTTTTGCAAAATGTGTTTAGTATAATGAGACTCAAGTCAATCTGCAGTTTATGCTAACCTTTTTTTCTAACAAATTTATGTAATCGTGGAAATGATAAAAAACAAACTCTTTAAAAATTTTAAGATCTTTAAAATTAATCCAATCTGGAGCCGTACACTTCCACCTCACACAGATGGAGGTGCACAGTTCTTCCAGGTACGACAACGTTGATGTATCGACCGTCCATACCGTTGCACAGAAAGGTTTCAGTAAAACCTGGAGAGATGGTGGAGATCACAGCACACCTGACAGAAAAAAATAAAAATAGGTACAGTATGAAATTTTTTTTTTTCACTGTATAAAAAAATGCTAATTTAATCAAATTTGCAAAAATCTTATGGTATGGACAATATATACAATATTATATTTCAAATTCCTATAGAGGACAAATTGTTACCTTTCATTGTTGTTTCCATTGTTGTCAAGTGAGTCTCCAATACGAATTTCAGCTCCATTAATTCGAGTGTAGTCTTCTATCCGGTTGGTTATCTTAATAGAGAAAACTTTATGGGTTTTTCCCAGGTCCAGTCTCCACCAGGGGTTGAATTCATTTGCTGTAGCACTGCATGAGTGCTTTGCAACGTTGGCTGCTCGATTCCCATCGATAGCGTTGTAGGCAACATATACACTGTACAGTGTAGACTGGGTAGCTTTACCATAAATAGCCAGATTTTCTCCTGAAAAACAACATTTTAAAATATTTACAGTAATCCTGAATTTGAAATCAGGTAACAACAATAAGCATGTCTTTGTTCTAGACTCAGAGGTACATTTAATGACACTGATGTGGCTACATTAAATTGATAGTTCATGTTTGAAACAATGTATCTGTATGCTACTGTTCATGGATTATTTACACTCAGTTTCCACACTTAATGCACAATTTAATGTCATGATCCAGTAGTTTAAGTTTGACTTGAATAATTAGACACCTGGAGAAAATGGTAACAATGCAGGACTCACCAATTGGAGTTTTTTATTACCTCTGTTTCTTTCATTTATTTTTTCATGTTTGCATCCTGTGAGGTGTACAACAAAAAATAAATTGTGTTTGTGCACACATCTTTATGTAACACATACAGCACTGATTAATCATACACCACCTATAACTTTTTTTATTCCTTACAGTTGGATAAAGTTCATTTCTTTCAAAGAAGTAGGTCAGGCACTGCCAGTTGAAGGCAAGATGTATAGTAACTGTTAAACCATCTTCAAAACTGGACACACAGACCGACTGACATTTTAGAGGCATAAAGATCCGATGAAGTGACGACTCCAGCAATACTTGATGTCCTTAGGAACCAGATTTCTATAGTATTTCAAGGCCATTACCAGAAATACATTGCTCTGGTGATAGAGTACATCTTTAGTATCCTAAATGTGATTTACTGGTGTAGTTTGAAAAATGACATTCTCAGACTTCCTGGTCACATCTTTCAGTAGAAATAAAATACTACAATAAAGTTAGTGCTACAGTTGCAATGCCAAGTGAACAGTAAAGTGCAGTGTGATAATAGCCACATATTTCCTGGAACAGATGATTGATGCTTTGATGATTCAACATTGATTCATGAATTTATAGCAAAATATGAAAATAGAATGGGGTTATGCATGACCACAGCTTAACAGGGCATGCAATTGTATTTGAAGAATTGTACATTTGTACAGAAACAGCCAGATTAAGATTTGGTTGGTCATATTCCATGTAGAAACTATGTAGAGGTTCTTGTAGATCTTCTAGAGGTTGTTACACACCGCATTTTGCAGAGTCAGCAAAATGCTGTGTGCCCTGTAAATGACCTCAGAGGACTGACACTGGCAGAGCAGCAAAGGAAAGGAGGAATAACTTGGACATGACATGGAAAGGTCTTCCAAATCCAACGTAGCCAAAAACAGCTTGTCTCACTGCTTTGTTCAGCCTAAAACTTTAATTTTGGATGAATTAAAGCCACTGCTTTGTACTTTGCTGCCTCAATAAAATTATTGATTCAGTTTCCAAATTTCCCTGTAGACATGTTAGAAGATTTTTGAATACCTTTTTGAGTTAGATATAGCTTTTGTATGTCAAAGAACTTGAGATGGCCCTCACTGTTAGTTCTTTTCTTTTGAGAAAATTTATCTCTCAGCTATTTATAATATCTTATTGTGCAATGCAGAATTGTTGTCGCCAAAAAACAAAAATGAAAATAATTGGTGTTTCAGGGTCAGTTATTATTTCACGAGTCAAAAATGCTAATCATCACAAAGATGTAACTTTTTCAAGCAATGACGTGTTATTTTAAATTTGACAATTTAGTTTCAGAAATTTGTTTTTCTGTTCTTATCAAATAGGTCAGTGCATATTTTGGTCATCACTTTTGTCACCAGAAACCACAGATTAAAAATAAACAAGTGTTTTATGTTGTTTTACAATAAAACACATGAAAATAAACCATTTTCTGGTTTGTGGGGGAAAAAAACAATCAAAAAAACATTTCACTTGACAATCTTTTCACGTTAGAAATATTTAAAACACAAAATCTGTGCACATTTTTTCCTTTAAGGTTTTCATTACTGGGACTACATTTTTTACTTAAGTAACCTTCAGAGTACCTTTTGCACCTTTCTAAAACTAGCACTTTATTTAGCACTGCACTTTAATCATTGATTTACAATTCAATATCCATTTCCACACAAGAGATTTTAACAATTTCTTTATTAAAATTTATTTGTTCCTAAGCACTCTGCTTAGGAACAAAAGTTTATTAGACTGTCAGTTATACATGTTGACATTATAAATATAAAAAACGAAAAGTAAATATAAATGCTGCAAAATGGATTTGATTTAATTAATCAATATTTAAATCCAAATATATATGTTACATTATCTAACCAAATTGCTGCTACTCTGGCAGATTATTGCTCCTTTCTCATCATATCTGCATCAACATATACAAACAAAGAATTACTGAATTGGTTACACATAACACCTTGCAAACTAATTAACAAGATTATTGTTTTCTGTTTTTTACTTTTTGGATTTTCAGTAAGTATTTTCTTAAATCAGCAGTTCAGAAGCATAAAGTGATTGGATCATGTTCTAGTCAAAGGATTTACAGCTGTCACTGAGTATTGTGAGCTAGTCATTAAATTTGATGAAGACATGTTTTTCTACGAAAGTATCAACATTTAAAAGAGTGGCAGATCTATTTAATCTAGTCTTGATGCGTAGACTTCAACCTCACACAAGACGAGATACTCAACTCTTGCAGGTATGACAATGTTAATGTATCGACCATCCATTCCATTGCACTGAAAGTTTTGAGTAAAACCTGGAGCGATGTTTGAGATCACAGCACACCTGTTAGGAAAAAAAATAATTGGTTCTGTTAAGAAACAAAATGTGATGAGGCAGAAAATATGTTGCGTTGCAATATGAGGATTTCTGACTATCACCTGGGATTATTGTTGCCGTTGTTATCAAGTGAATCACCGATACGAATTTCAGCTCCTCGAAGTCGTACGTAGTTTTCCACATTGCTGGTTACATTGACAGAGAACACTTTATGGGTTTTTCCCAGGTCCAGTCGCCACCAGGGATTTAATTCTTGTGCTGTATGACTGCAAGAACCTTTGCTCCAGTATCCAGCACGATTCCCATCAATGGAGTTGTAGGCAATGCCATTAGAATGCAATGATGACTGAGTAGCTTTTCCACAGATTGCTATATTCTCTCCTGCAACATAAGATTTTAAAATATAAGAATTGATAAATAATTTGACTACAGTGAGAAGTGGGTTCTGACGATATGCCTGGATGTATTTGAGTCGTTTATTATAGTGGATTCGAAAACAAAAACTTTTTAATGATCTTCATGCAGGAGACGGGAGTTAGCGGGAAAGCAATCCTATTTTTAATGTTTTTTTGTAACTGCTTCATTTGTTCCATGGCAGTTATTTTATATTTGACTATTGCACTTCTTACGCATACTGAACCGTTTAAGATATACTCTTTCTTCTGCACTGCTGTTTTTTTGGATTATTTACACTCTGAAAATGTGAAACAATTTCATCTTCTGATACTATTCCTAAAATTAGAGATAAAATAACTTGAGCTTCTTTTGAATAATATATTGAGAGTAAGAAATGCAGGTCTCACCAGTTGGAGCACGATAACCGTAGACCTCCACCTCACAGAGTGTAAGGACTCTGTTAAAACCAGGAAGTGACACAATCACATAACG